CAAGGGGCTCCCTGGCACAAAACTCACCTTGTTCAACATCCATATCCTTCTTTTTTCTTTTTTTGAGGCAATCAGGGTTAAGTGACTTGCCCAGGGTCACACAGCTAGTAAGTGAAATCCTATTTGAACTCAGGCAGTCCTGACTCCACGGCTGGTGCTGTATCTACTGCATCACCCATGCATATCCTTCTGATGCTGTAAATCATAAAATAGCAGCACTATAAGCTCTGAAAATAACCCAAGTTATGGGACAATGGAGAAAGATACAAGGTGGGTATAAGTAGGATGTAACATAGCTCCCATAATATTACCCATAAGAGGCAGCACAAGGGATGCCATTGAAGAGATTAGCAAAGAGATTCTGCTGACTCCTTCTTGCTAAGTCTAGGATAAAACACAAACTCCTCTGGCGGGCATGTCTTCATGGGCACTTCATAATCTGACTTCAGCCTGTCTTTCTAGGCTTATGTCACATTGTTCTCCTTCATCATCTCTATAGTCCAGCCAAATTGGTGTCCATTACCTCAGATATTCCATTTCCCGTCTTCATTCCTTTGCATAGACTGCCTCTGTTCCTGGAATGTGCTCCCTTCTCACCCTCCCTCACGGAATCCATAGCTTCCCTTCAAGGCTCGGCTCATATCCTACAAGAAGCTTGTCTGATTCTCTCTAGTGCTAGAGTCCTTCCCAGAAGTTACTTTGTATTTGCTTTGTATGTTTCATATTTAATTTTTTGTATAATCTTTGTTTTACCTCAATAGACTATAAGCTTCTTGAGAACAGAGACTATTTAATTTTTGGTTTTGTATGCCCAAGGTCAAGCATGGAGCCTGGCACATGATATGGTCTTCATTAATGAGTGTTGAATGTATGATGAAGAAAGGAGATGAGGTGAACTAGGCAGTTATGAGGTATAAGAGAGAATAACAGAAAGATAGTTTGCATCAGAACCCACAGAAAATTAAAAGACTTGGAGGAAGGCCTCAAACTTGAAGGATTTGCTAGAGGATATAGATAAGAATCTCATAGTTGAAAAGGTGTGAATAAGTAGCAATCTGCACTATTAGAAAAAGACCCTACTTTCATAAGGTCATAGAACCACAGGAAGTGCTAAAATTATACTACAAATATAAGGCAGTACAAGTGTCAAATGAGTGGTATAAGTTCCATAGTTACAGTGACTGTATTTTCAGAAAAATGGGATAGATAGTCTGACAAAGGATGCTAGTTGTTCAAAGCCTAATTAAAACTACAGGGTGTTCCAGAAGTCTAAGCATTGAGACCAAAGAAATGGGAGTTTGGGAAGTGTCTTTGGGACATCCTGTACATCTTTTTACCTCAAGGAAGTAATCAAGAGAAGAAAGTTGCTGCATCAGTCAGTCAATAAGCATTTTTCTTCCTCTTTTCTTTAAAAAACAATCATTATATGGCATGTATGGGATATATGGGAAAACTCTCTGGGAGGAGGAAGGGAGAGGAAATACTGGGGGAAATGTTGACGATGTAAAAACAAAAGCTATCAATAAAATTTATTTTTAAAAATACATCTTCTTTTGAAATCAGAATTATATCAGAAAATTCAGAATCTACAAGACACTGTAGCTCTAGGGGAACTGGTGAGCCAAGACAGTGAAGGAAGGAATTATTTTTTAAAAAATTCATGGAATTATTAAAGGATTCCTGAGTAACTTACTGTCCATGGGGGGAGAGGTTGGGATGAGAAAGAGCCTTGGGATAGAAATCAAGGAATTTGGCTTCTAATCCCAGCTGTTAGCTGTGCATTTGGACAGGTTACTTCTTTCCAGACTTCAGTTTCCTTATCTAGAAGATAACGGCATTGGACAAATGAGCTCTTACGTCCCTTTAGATCCAAAATCTTATGACAACCTTTGGTAATAAAGTAACTTCACTCCACTAGGCAAAAAAGAACAGAGGGAGAAAGGCTATGAATTTCCAGTCTGTTTCCAATCTGGCTCATTCTTCCCAAGTTGCCCAAGCAGTGCACTGTTCTGATCATATTAGACCCTATTTAAAAAAAATTGTTAGTGATTCCCCATTGCCTATCAAATAGTGAATGAATGAATGAATGAATGAATAAATAAGGCTTAAGTGCTTATTCTATGTAAGACAATCACTGCTGTCAAGTAGCTCATTGGGAGAGACAGCTCATACAGAATTTTTCAGCCACAAGTCAGATGGAAAGGCCAAATGGTCCATAGGGTGCAGTGGCAAAATAGATGGTAACAAAGAAATAAATAAGATCCCTATCCTGGTAATTAGGCCTTTGACAATGTGGAGAGCACTGGTACAGTGGAAAGAGCAATGTATTTAAAGTCAAGAGGACCTGGATAAAAATCCTGGCTCTTCTACCTGTTAATCGGTCAATAAATATTTATTAAGCACTATGTATTGGAAGCAGCTCGGTGGCTCAGTGGATAGCGTGCTGGGTCAGAAAGACCTGAATTCAAATCCAGCCTCAGACACTCACTAGCTGTGTGACTTTGGGCATTTAACCTCTGTTTACCTTCAACTGCTGAAGACGGAAATGGCAAACCACTCCAACATCTTTGCCAAGAAAACTCCATACAGGGTCACAAGGAGTTGGACACAACTGATCAACAACATGTGCCAGGCATTGTGCTAAGCTGCAAGGATACAAAAAGAGGCAAAAGACAGTCTCTGCCTTTAAGGAGCTCACAATCTAATGGCGGAGACAAGTAAACAAATATGTACAAACAAGCTATGTATAGTATAAAATAGGAAAAAATTAAGAGAAGGGAAGGCGCTTGATTTAAGAAGGGTTGGGAAAGGCTTCCTGTGGAAGATGAGATTTTAGTTGGGACTTTAAGGAAGCTAGGGAAGCTAATAGGCAGAGATGCAAAGGGAGAACATTTCAGGTATGGGAGACACCCCTGAGTTGAGAAGAGAGTCTTGTTCATGGAACAGCAAGGAGGCCAGTGTCACTGACTTGAAAAGTATGAAGTGGGGAGTAAGGTATAAATAGACTGGAAAGGTAAAAGGTGACTGAGTTATGAAGGACAAACAGAGAATTTTGTATTTGATCCTAGAGGCAACAGGAAAGCACTGGAGTTTATTGAGTATGGGGTGACATGGTTGAACCTGCACTTTAGGAAAATCACTTGAGTGACTGAATGGAGGACAGAGTGGAGTGGGAAGAGACTTGAAGCCAGCAGATACACCAGCAGGCTACTGCAATAGTCCACCTTGTGAAGGGATGAGGGCTCACACCACAGTGGTAGCTATGTCAGAGCAGAAAAAAAGTTGTATTGGAGAGACAAGCCATAGCAACCAATTGGCTATGGGCTGTGAGAGTGGGGAGTTGAAGAAGACACCTGTCATTTTCCCTCTACTTCTTCCTCTTTATAACCAGAGGATTGGATTAGGTGATAATAGCTGACATTTACATGGTACTTTCAGGTTTCCAATGTACTTTCATACATATCATCTCTTTTGATCCTCACAATAGCTCTATAAAATAGGTGCTACAGGCATTAACCCCATATTACAAATAGGAATATGAGGCTCATAAAGATTGTGACTTGTCTATGATCCCACAGTCAAGAGTAGGATTCAAACATAGGTTTCTCCTAATTTCAAATCCACTACCCTTTTCCCAATACCATGCTGCCTCTAAGCTACTAACCCCAAGGTCCATTTCAGCTCTAAACTCTGAAGACATGGCACATAGAGTCCAACAGAGAGTGTTGGGAGTCACAAAGCCCTGATTTTGAATCCTGTCTCACAATTACCAGATGTATGGCAGGGCAAGTCATTTAACTTTTCTCAGTCTCAGTTTCTCCCTCTGTAAAATGAGAGAATTGAACTCAATGGCCTATAAAGTCCTTTCCAGTGCTAAATTTATGATCCTACTATGTTCTTTACATTCCAGCTAAACCAAGCTATCCTCCATCCCCTTTCTTATCCTGCTATCTCCAAGGCTGTCTCACATGGGTAAATTGGACTAATTCTTCCTCCCCACCCCCATCCTATCACTGCTAGTTAAAGCCCCTCCCTTTCTTCAAGACTCAACTCAGGTGCCACCTCCTCCAAGGAGTCTTTCCTAACAACCTTAGCTGGAAATATTCTCCCCCTCCTCAAATACCTCATTAACCCTTTGCCTGGACGCTTGCTACTCCTTGTAACATTCATCTACATAACTCATATTTTCAAAGCTCTTTTTCCTCACAATGCTGTGAAGGATGTTGTATATGTATTATTATTCTCATTTGGCAGATAAGGAAACTGAGTTTCTGAAAGTTTATGATTTGTCCAGGATCCCACAACTACAGTCTGAGGCACATTCAGATCCAGGCCTCTTGGCTTCTTTCCCTGATATTAAACTACAGATTTCCCAAGGGCAGGGGTTGTGTCCTCCCTGTGTTGCCCAATACCCCAATTCCCTATCCTGTCCAAAAGAGACACTTAAATGTTGAATTTGTCAACAAGCAATCACAACATCACCAGACTTGTTGTGAAAACCAGGTTTATTACAAGAGAAATGAATATGCATGTGGAACCCAAAGAGTTTCCAGTCTTTACATAAGTTTATATTTTTATAATAGGACAAAGGGAGGAGGGGATACCAGGAAGGAGCATGACATAGGAGGGGGAACGGTGCAGCAAAGGTGGGAAAAAAGACAAGACCACTCCCCAGGGAGAGGATCAAGGTGACGGCAAAAGCCTCATTATTTTCCCTTGGGAACTATTAGACTGTGAACATAGGAGGGTCTGCTTATCTGCAAAGGACCCTAGCTGCACAAGCCTTATCTCAGCCTGGAAAGTCTGTCTTGCCGCTCAAGGACACACAGGGAGTTCAGTTTGGGGTTCAACAACAAATTATGTCAGCTCAGGGGGAGCTTCGTCCTTGACACATTCAGGGCCTCCTGCATGCTCTGGGTCCAGTGTTTCCGAAAAATATGGCAACTCAAAAAGACAAGTTCAGGGGACTCCTTAACAAAATGGACTAAAAAGGTTGAGAAACTGGGCCAAGAGGAAGCTATCCGAGACTTTCGTGAGTGCGGTCTCTGCGGAAAAGTGAAGTGGCTAGTGAGAAAGCCTGGACAGAGGAAATGGAAATCCCCCCATTATACCTAGTGAGATATCAGAGACCAGACTGGAGAAGCAGAGAAAGGGCAAGGGTGAAAGAGCAAGGTAGAGTGAGTACAAGGTCCTCCAGGCGGGCTAGATGAGCCAGGTCGGGAACAGACACTTCCGGGGCGGGGCGTTTTCTTTTCCCCAGGCCGGAAATGTGGGTTATAAACACTGCAATAGTCGCCTCTCGTGTCCGTTTGGCTGTTGCTCCTTCTTGCCTTAGAGTCTCCGTTAGCAGTAGGGTCGCCATGGCGAAGAGCAAATTCGAGTATGTACGGGATTTCGAGGCGGATGACACATGCCTAGCCCATTGTTGGGTGGTCGTGCGGCTAGACGGAAGGAACTTCCATCGGTGAGAGCACTGCCTAGGGGCTCGCGTGGCTCGCATGCGCTTCCGGGGCGGGTCCCTTTTCATCGCCCCCGCCCCGCACTCCCCCCTCCCTCTCTTCTCTTGCCCTTCCCTCCCAGCCATCCACTTCCCCTTCTCTGTTACCAGGGGAACCCCATAGCCAATGAGTTTGCGGTAGGAAGCGTCTCCCACTCTCACGTCCTGGAGAGGCCGCCAAAGGCTGGACAGGAGCCTGGCCATTACTGAAGTTCAAAGAGGGGAAGTTTCAGCTCTCATTAGAAAAGAGCAAGAAGCTTTGGGTTCCAGTACTAGTTCTGCCAGTTACTTGCTGTGTGGTTTTGGGGAAGTCATTTTAACTACTTTGAGCCATCTTTTCCTTTTGGGATGGGGGGGTTGTCCAACAGTTCTTTAACTAGCCATCTTGGGAAAGGAACTGGGGAGTAAGGGCTTTGCATGTCATAAAGTACTTTATCAATAGGAACAGGAGTTGTAGATGTATTCTTTCTTGGGGCTTAGATTGAAAGTGAGCTTGATGTGATTATCAGCAGCCCAGAGAACTGATAGCAAAGTACATCCCCTTCCCATATCTTTTCCCTCAGGTTTGCAACTGGTTAACTAAATGGCCCTCTGTATCTACATTATCTAAAGAGCATAAAAAAAAAAATCTGCTTAGTATTTTGAGGGGGGTGGTATACAGGATGTAGAAAATCTCCTGCCTTCTGAAAGGCAAAGAAGCAGAGTTTGAGTATGGCTCTGCCCCATACTACTTTTATTTGAGGTCAAGTGACTTCTAGAAAGTTACTTTCCTTCTCTGAACTGAGGAGGTTAGAATAAATGGTTTCTAATGTTTATTGTATGATTTAATATTTATTAAACACCCATACTTGAAGAGTTTTAGTTTAACTGGTTTCCACAAATTGTCCAGATGTGCCAGAATACCTAAGGAGAGAGGGGCAAGGGAGAGTAAGTGTGGTGTAGAACTGAAGGAAAGATAGAGTCATGGAATAAAGCCTCAATTTCCTTCTCCTAGTCAGAGCAGGAAAGGCCCTTGATGAGACAGAAGTGAAGAAATAAAGTACTGTTATTTGATAGTCTTTAACATGGTATTTAAAATGTTGCTTGAATCATAGATGTTAGGTGACTTCCCCTTGGTCACACAGCTTGACCCATAGTCTTCCTGACTGTAAACCCTGCATGCTACTCGGCCTCTGCAGTTTTGCTGTTCCTGTTTTTACATTATATTATCTTTGTTTTAACTTCCTTCATGAAAACTTACCTTTGTTTCTCCTCCTTCCCACAATGAAGTTTTGCAGAAAAACACAACTTTGCAAAACCCAATGATAGCCGAGCCCTGGAATTGATGACCCAATGTGCCCAGACTGTAATGACACAACTGGAAGACATTGTCATGGCATATGGACAAAGTGATGAATATAGCTTTGTATTCAAAAGGAAGAGCAATTGGTTTAGAAGAAGAGCCAGGTAATTTCTCTTGAATTTCCCATCTCTTCCTGTCAAGACAGGAATCCTTTCCTCAAGACAGATGTCACCCCTTTTACTTTAATCATAATTTTTCAACATTTTCTCTTTAGTCTTACAGGTATCTATTTATTTTAATTCTTTTTCTTTTCTTCTCCTCCTGGAATTTTGATTTCTGGTTTGACCTGGGATTCTAGATTCTCAGGGACTAGAAATGAAGCAGTGTGAAATTGATTAAGAGCTCTACTTAGCTCTTGTAGATGACAGTGTTTCTTTGGAAGGGCTGGAAGTTTGAGGTATAGCAATGTTGTGAAAGTATCATAGCCAATAAATTGCCAATTATATAGACTTTTTAAAGCTAAAGTAGTTTTCCTTTTCAAAACATGTATTAGTCCTTTAAGAGAGACATTATGGTATAGTAGGGAAGTACTAGCCTACGAATTAGGTTGTTTAAGTTCTAGTACTGTCTTTTTTACTTAGTAACCCTATATCCTTGCTAAGTTAACTTCTCTTTTGGGTTTCAGTTTCCTTCTGGAAAATGAGAGGTTTGAACTAAAGGAGCTCTAAGATCCTTTCCAGTTCAATAGTCTGTGATTTAACACATTCTACCTTTTCTCTCTTCTAATAAAATTACTACCATAGTATGATTTCTAACCTGATGTTTTAGAAGTCTGATAATTATTGTTCCTCCTTCTGGTCTCTCCCCTTTCAAATCCATCCTCCACAGATGCCAAATTGATGTTCCTGAAGCACAGATCTGAAAATGTCAATTAATGTTCAAATAGCTCACTATTGCCTATAGTATCAAATTCCTCTGGCATTTAAATACCAGAAAGCTTGTTTCTTCACTTTGGCCTCCTTGCTTCTGTATCCCACCTCAGTACCTTTGCATAGGTTACCACCGGGTCAGGAGTGCTTCCCCATCTTACCTGTGTAGCTTCCTACAATATACAGCTCAATGCCACTTCACAAATGAGACCCATCCTACCAGTTGCTAGTTTCCCCCAATTATTGTCATATAGTTTGCATATACTTATATGTTTGTATGTATAGGAACTTTAAAAAAAATTTTTTTTTTGGTCTTTCTATCCTTAGCACCTACCAAAGTGCTTGTTACATTTGTTGTTGTTGTTGAGTTGTGTCTGAATCTTTGTGACCCCATTTGGAGTTTTCTTGGCAAAGATACTAGAGTGGTTTGTCATTTCCTTCTCTAGCTCATTTTACAGATGAGGAATCTGAGGCAAACAGAGTTAAGTGACTTGCCCAGGGTCACACAGCTAGTAAGTGTCTGAGGTCAGATTTGAACTTAGGTCTTCCTCAGTCCAGGCCCATTGCTCTATCCACTGCACCACCTAGCTGCCCTATTACATAATATGCATTTGCTTGAATCAAATTACTGGGGAGAAAAATAATACTAATAGTTCAGTTTAATGGACATTAAGTGCCCCTTAGTTCAGGAACCTGTTCTTTGTATGAATGAGTGGGAGGTACTTTCCTTAAAAATCCTGGGAACTAAGTATTACAATTATTGTCACCAGTAGATGTAAATTCTTTATTGTACCCCATAATCTTTGTGCTGTGTAAATATTAACGTAACATGTTTTCTCTCCCTGTCCTTTCTTTGTATTTACAAGTAAATTTATGACAAACGTGGCCTCTCAGTTTGCCTCCAGCTATGTCTTTTATTGGAAGGATTACTTTAAGGACCAGGAGCTTCTATATCCTCCAGCCTTTGATGGAAGAGTTGTAGTGTATCCTAGCAACCAGACCTTAAAGGACTATCTCAGTTGGCGACAAGCTGATTGTAAGTATTTTTAAAAACAATGAAATTCCAAGGATATGAACTATCTAATATAAACATTTTTGACTTTTTATTCATTTGACTAGCTTCTGAGGAACTTAGAAAAAATTAGGAATTTAAATCACATAATTTTGGAAATGTTCCCTTAAGATATTTTTCAACTAGCATTAATCTGAGTGAAAAGGATAGTAATTAAAATAACTGAAAACAAAGATTTGTCCACTAATATTAACACTTGTCTTATACATAGTAGGCACTCTACATGTGCATTGAACTTGTAAAATATGTGTGTATATATATATATATATTTATATGTATATTTAAAAAATATGTAACATTTTAAAATATAAATGCACAAACATACAATTCATTGTCTCTGAGCTCTCCATCTGAAGTAGAAAGATGTCTTTGGGGGTCGGGGGAGGGAATTGATAGGAAAGTGATTCCTTTGGACTATGAATGTTGCATATACATTTTTGAACTTTTTCTCCCCAGGTCACATTAACAATCTTTATAATACAGTTTTCTGGATGCTGATACAGAGATCTAAATTAACACCAGCACAAGCTCAAGAAAGATTACAGGTATGAAAATGTTACTATCTTACTCTTTGCCTATTAATTTAATTTTGTATAAATTTTCCTACAAAAGTTTATCTTGTATCCTTTAATGCAGTTTTTTTTTTTGATAGGCCAGAAAATTAGAATATCAAGGTAAATAGGACCTAGAAGTCATCTAGTCCACTCCCTTCATTTGAAACAATAGGAAACGGAGGCCCAGTGAAGGCCAAGGCCACGTAATGATAAAGCTGGAACTAGTACCTAAGTCTCCTGGCATTCAGGCTAGTGCTCTTTTCCCCATGCCACAGATACTTCCAAGATAATAGAGAATGCTATATGTTTTTGAAAGCCAATTAACATTTTTAAAATGAGGCTTTTCACTTGGTTATATGTTATTTGAAAAGACTCATTATAGAGTTCCATTATAACACAGGTCAATGGCATCCACATTCTGTTGCATCACAAGCTAGCGTGGAGAAGAGCGCCGAAGCACGAGGATTCACATCCTGGCTGACACTTTCTGTGTGATCTTGGGCAAGCCACTTAACCTCTGGGCCTCAGTTTCCTCATCTGTGAAATGAGAGAGTCGTATGAGATGGCCTCTACTAAAGATCCTTTTGGCTCTTAATCTATGATCTCATGATCAAGTCAATGCAGGACTAGATCTAGTAAATTCAATTATAATATGGTTAGCTTATAAGGTTCTTAAGCATAAGGATTGTTAATTCTTGGCATTTGTATGTACCCCCAGCACCTAACATACATAAGGCCTGACAGATAGCAGGTGTTTAATAAATGCTTGTTGATAAGGTAAGTGTTAGTCTTGTCCCTCTCACCATTAAGAAAGGTTACCATTTATATTTTCTTCTATCCTCAGGTCACTGTTTTGGCTTGTGAAGCCACTGGTTTGATGATGGCAGATGGACAGTTTTATGATTTTAGAAATTGAAATGGTTTGAACTGTTCTTTAAAATGCAAATATATTTCATAATTCCAGATAAAAGCCCTTAAAATATTTTAAAATTTTATCTCCCTTCCCTTTACTGTTTTACTAGTTTATTGGCCTAGATTGGGGTTAGGGTTAAGGAGGATATAAAACCTTGTGTATTTTTTTTTAATCCTAGGGAACACTTGCTGCAGATAAGAATGAAATTTTGTTTTCTGAATATAACATCAACTACAATAATGAACCACCAATGTACAGGAAAGGAACTATACTCATATGGAAAAAGGTAAGAAATATGATTCCAAATGGAAACAGACAGAGGAATGACTACAGCTTCAGATCAGCTCCTGTATTTTTAATGAACTATTAGTAACTGCTTAAGACTTTCTTGTTGGCTGCTAATTCTGGGCCTCTCTTTATAATCTACCTGTAAATACATAAAATGGTGTTCATAAGAAAAAAGATGCTGACTAGTCTATATTCTTTTTTTTTTTTGGCGAGGCAATGGGGTTAAGTGACTTGCCCAAGGTCACACAGCTAGTCAGGGTTAAGTATCTGAGGCCGCATTTGAACTCAGGTCCTCCTGACTCCAGGGCCAGTACTCTGTCCACTTTGCCACCTAGCTGCCTCTGACTAGTCTATATTCTGTAAATTCAGTCTGAATTGGAATACCCATCTCATGCAATTTAGATCATAGAATTTTAGAGCTACAAGGGACATAAGGAATAATTTCATTTTACAGTTGAGGAAAATTAAGCCTCTGATAAGTGAAGTAATTTGTTCCAAGGCTAGCCAGAACTAGGCCTTCTGCCCAATGTTCATGTAAATCTCTAAGTCGACCAGCATGTATAAGTCAACAAAACATTTCTATAATCTTTGTAGTGGGAATCAGAAGACAGATTCAGATTCAAACCCTAGCTCAGGCAGTTACTAGTATGTGTTTTTGGGCAAGTTAACTTAAAAGTACTTTAAAAATACAAGCTGTTAAACAAAACTCCACTGGGGTAAAATGTAATTTTTTTTTTTAACTAAAGGCATGAAGGTAGAAACAATCATCCTGACTACTTTTTAATACCAGGGAGTGGTTGGGGAGAGAGATTGGTGGTATCTTTCTGGTTCCTGATAGTCTCTTATAATTTAATAAACTGTTATTTGTAGATTAAAGAAGTTATATCAAAGGAAATCAAGCTTCCAGGAGAAACAGAAGAAAAAAAAGTTGAAGTGACACGGACAAGGACTAAACCAGTTGCTTTACACTGTGATATCATTGGTGATGCTTTCTGGAAGGAGCATCCTGAGATCCTTGAAGATGACAGCTGACTTGTCTTTTCCTTTGTGGTTATCCATGCAGGCATCGGATTCTTGCTAGCTAAACTACCTCTGACATTAGTTAGAGTTCTGTGAAATACACATTTTATGTAAGCAGCAAGAAAGATCAGTTTTGGGGGGAGGGAAAAAGAGGGAGAAAGAGGTAGCACATCTTACTCTTCTGAAAGCAGGGCACCTTTTTTTTGTACCATAGAAACATGGTTCCATTGCAGAAACACAAATAAAATTGTGTTACTATTTTTGCAAAGCAATTAGCTATATCTTGTATAATTAATCTTTTTAGACTGTGGTATAAATCATTTTAAAAACTGCCACCTACTCCTAACTAGCTTAGAGTTAGGATATAGTGACTTTGAAATTCTTACCCTTCTTAACAATCTGTGTACATTTCTCCTTGGCAGACCTGAAAATAAACATGAACTACATGTTTATGAATTATATGTTTTTGTATCCCTCAATTATGGTAACTCTAGATTGACCAGCTGTATACACTTCAGTTGGTTGAATTACTGGGCAATCATTTGTTCCTGTGGGTTCTGCTGTTATTTTCAGCTTTCTTCCCAAGAGTAGCATTTCAGATCCAAACTTCTAAGAAATACACATATTTCTTTGGGGATGAGAGATACAGAGAAGGGGTGCATAGAGGAGTGGAACAGGCCTGAGTAATTCGTTGCATTTTTCAACAGACATTAAATACCTACTGTGTTGTGGGAGATAAAATTTGTATAAGTAATAGTTCTTCCTCAAGCAGCTTAGCACAAGAAAAAGATACCAACACAGAGAGCTGTTTATTATAACAGAATTATATATTTTAAAGTCATTCATCTTCAATTTCTGAACAGCTTTTTATACTTGCAAAGGTGAATTGGTTCAGTTGTATTTCATATAGTTTTTTTTTTTTCCTTTTGGGGCTCTGTAAATGATTCTTGCTCTGAGACTCAGACTGGTTTGGAAGGGCAGATGGATCTTTGTATTTATGATTGGATCACAGGGGCTTTCATTTTAAAATGATGCAGAAAATCCCTTGAATATAGTTGGTGTGGACTGTTCCTTCTGAATTAGGGACTTTAAATGTCTCCTGGTGATGCTAGCCTGAACAGACATAGGTAGGGCAAGAACAGGCAGTATCACTGTTAACATTAAGGTACCAGTTTATTTAGAATTGATAGTGAGAGGGAATGAAACATAATTAGATGAATTGAAGGAGAAATAAAAATTCCTGATGTATTCATCAGGAACTGATTCAAGAGACCCATATCCTGTTTTTTGTAAAGCTTAAAGCCAAGAAGTAAATATATCACTAAAAAATCTAAGTCTGGGCTCATCCCCGACTAGTTAACATCCCATCTGTTCAACTTTCGGTCTCTCTTCCTATTCTAACAGGAACTTTTGTGAGTTAGACATAGCTGATTTATGGTGTTAATTATGTGAACCTGTTAAAGGTGAAATAAAGGCTTATGGGTCTGCGTGGTATGATTTTCCATTTCTTGATACAACTCAATATTGCATCAACTTTAAAGAAAGCTAATGGCTTATTGTGCTTGTCCTATAGCTAATAATGATAGCAATATATTAATTACTACAGCCAGAAAACAGTATCATTTAGAGATACATCATCTTTTTGGGGGAGAAAGAACGCTTTTTGAATTCCCAGGATTTGGCTCCTCAACCCCTGGTTTATTCCTGAACTTTGGGTTCCTACTCCTTAAGAGCTATTTTTTGACTATCCCTTTAAGTTAAAGTTAAGTGCATATCATGGTCAAGGCACTGTACTAGGTACTGAATTTTAATTTTAATTTGTTTGGCCCTCCAAGAGGGGGCCAATCATTGTCCTAGGAATTTTCTGGAATCCTATGTTATCCTAGCTAGAAATGCTAATGTATGACATGTAGGTCACAGGGAAACACTGTTGCTATTAAGTCATCTTGGATGTTTCCCTCTTCCTAAATTACCAAATCCTCTCATTTTGCTTCTACTAATCTACCTCTTCAATTATTCCTAACTGCCTCCTCCACCTTAGTTCAGGCATTCATCTAATAATAGTATTCTAACTGGTCCCTGATTTTTGAGTTCTTCTCCTTCATACTACACACCTGCCAGCTACATTCTTCTGTCACTTTCTTGCTTAAACTGTTTAAAGATTCACAGCTGCCTATAGTGTAAATACAAGATCTGTCTTGGCATTTACAACACCGCACATTGTGGCTCCATCCTACTGTTCTGGCCTTACTTTATACATCTCCCTTGCATGCATTTTACCTTCTAATCAAGCTGGACTACTAGCTCTTCCCATCCTGCACTCTTCTGGGCATTTGTGCAGGCCATCTCCTGGGACTGGAATGCCTTTTCTAACTCCACCCTGCCTCACCTAAACATCTCTGTCTTTAAAGCTTCAGAGTTGGACCAATCAGCTATGGTCCAGCTATGGTCCAACTATGAAGCCTTAACCTGTCACAGTTGAAAATGATCTCTTAAAACTCTTTGACTAGAAGTCTTCTTTACCCTCATTCAGTCTTGTATCATTTATATGTGTATAAGCCATGACCCTCAAACCCCAGCTTCTCTGCCCCAGAATTGCCCTCAGGGAATCCTGTGATTTTGGTTCAGGATTATCTTCCTGCTGTGCTCTCTGGGATATTTATTTTCTTTGCCAGATAAGCCAGCGATCAACTAGCCAGGCGTTTAGTAAGTGCTTATCACGTGCCATGAGCTGGTGGTACAAACACAGAAATGAGACCCTGCCTTTAAGGAGCTTAGATTCTACTAACTTGAATTTAGCCTTCTGGCCTGCTGTGATTGGGGGCCCTGCATTCTCTCAAAAGGTATTCACAGTCACCATATTTGGCTGCCCTGAATCTAGCACCTAATCCTTCTTTCTCTCCTTAGTTCATTATTATTTTCTAGACTACTAATGTATTTTTCCTGATCCCTCTGGAGCATTTGACCTTTTAAGATCTTGCCAAATTACATAATCCATTCACCTTTGGAACAAGTGCCCTGGGTCTGTTCTGTCCCAAGTCAGTACCAGTTCACATGTCCCATTGTATCTAGCCAGCCTCAGACATCCCATCTGACTGTCCATCCAAGCTATCCCTTTGTCATTAACCCATGTGTGTGTCCCCACAATCACTCACCCCTCGGAATAGTAATCAAACCAAAACTTCCACTGCTTCCGAAAAGGGCTTGTTGACTGACCCTTCTGTGGCTCTACTCACCATCTTTGTGACTTCCCAAACCAAAACAAGTCCCTGGCCACCACTCTCTCATATATGTTGTATCCTCCTATTCAAACATAAGCTCTTTGGAAGCAAGGATTGTCTTTTGTATAGGTGTCACCAGCACTTACGACAGTGTTTGGCATACATTCAGGAAGGAAGAGTACTTGAAGAAGTAACAATAGTAAGGTCCAATTGCTCCTAATTCTTTATCTTGATAGGCAGATTACCCTGAGTTTTTGAAAGCTATGCTAGCAGAGTACAGAGAGGTTCTGATAGGTCCTTCCAAAGTAGAAAAGCTTCAAGGACAAGGCAAAACCAATCACTTGTTAATAGCTATAGTGGGAGAGGTTCATTAGCAGAGGTGATCAGGTAATACATTAGTTTGGTGGTAGCAACTCGTGAAAAAGTCTCCTAAACTTAGAGGACTTGTCATCTCTCTCAGGGTTGGGGGGTGGGGTAGAGGAGGAAAGAAGACCCACACTGACCTCTAAACATTGGTGTAAATAAGGTTGTCCTTTATTTTTTTTTAAAGACAGTCTGAAATAACTGTTCACAGCAATCATATTGGATAGTTCACTAACTTGCTATACAATATTTCCCTAGGTTAATTCTCTAGTCGATGATTTTGTCCAAGGCCTCCACATTCCTCTCCCTCTGACCCCAGAAGAAATGCTATCTATCAAGAAATCTCCCTCTCGATTTGGGATAGGCCTAAGCAGGTTCATTGCCTTGGTTGCGCTACCCATCTCACTCTTAGGAAGGCTCCTGAATGATGGTGGGTTTTGGATCCTTTAACCACATTTTCCAACTTTAGTTATTATATTAGGACTATTGAACATCCCCCAAATTAGAGCATCACAAGAATCATGACACAGCATTACAGGAACAGGTAGCACATTATCCTAAAACTACAGAAGCTCTCTGAACCCCTAACCCCTAGGCTCTCAAGATTCTCCTATTCCAAAGGCCTACCACAAGCTGGGCAGCTAGCTAGTTCTGTGGATAGAGAGCCGCTGGAGTCAGAATGACCTCAGTTTAAATCTGTCAAATAGACACTAGCTGTGTGATCCTGGGCAAGTTTAACCTGTCTGCCTCAGTTTCCTCAACTGTAAAATGGGAATAATAATATTACCTACCTCCCAGGGTTGTTGTGAGGATCAAATGAAATATTTGTAAAGTGCCTAGTACGGTGTCGGGCACATAGTAGGTACTTAATAATTGCTTGTTTCCTTCCTTCCACTCTACCTTTCCAGCCTGATTTCATATTACATGGACATAGTCTTAATATTCCAGCCATATTGTATTTCTGGAGTTCCCTGTATGTGATTTATGTTTTTCCATCTTGATGACTGTTCACCAATTCACTCAATTCCTTAGTCACTAAGCTGCCTAAATTTTTTTTTTTACTAAAGGCCCCTTGAATCTTCTCTTATCACTTCATCTAAGCACTTGAGATAATATTTCCTTAGATACATGTTCGGTAAAGGATCCATCCAGCTGCTCAGGAATGCTTCTGAAATGGGTGTTGTAAAGAATCCTCATTAAATAATGCAGTATCTTGTTTATTGCTGTGTCTTCTATTGCATCCTAATAGTCTGCCTGTCTGTGCACTTCAATGTGGGAAAGCAATGGCTGGGGTTTATCCATCAGTATTATTTATTTCCCAACTTTAATTTTAACTTAATTCATTTCCCTGGAACATCTGTGATGGAGAGGGCTGTTGGTGAGTGAGTCAGGGAAGTGCCAGTAAGTCATGACTGATTGGATTATTCAGAAGCCTCTTTGCCAACTCTATACTTCATGTATGAATCATATATCATTGAGGAGGGAGCTGGCCATAACGCAAATCAATTAAATAACAACAGATAGTGCATATCACCTGAATACTAATGTTTGCTCTAAGAGGCAGCAGGGGTGTAGGACACAGAGGTTGGAGTCCAAGGGTCTGGTTTCAAGTTCTGCCTCTGTAGGTACCACTCGTGTTATTGATCTGGTGGGTCTTGGTTTCCTCCTCTAAAATGACTAGGCTGGACTAGTGTCCTCTGAAGGCCCTTCCAGCTCTAGTCAAAAACAGTGGCTTCTGGCTACAGTTAAGCTTTTGCTGTTTACTACCTAGAGTGCTATCTCTGGACAGTCTCACCTTTGCTACTGACTGCGGTGTGACCCTGGGCAAAGTCGCTTCGTTCGCTCCCCCCCCCCCCCCCCACTTGTCAATCCAGGACTGCTCCGCCGCGGGGCGCTGCTGCCCCCTCGTGGCGCTGCGCGGCGCCGCGCCTGCGCCTTGCCGCCCCCTGGCGGCCGCCCCGCGGGGACGCGTTCTTTTTCCCATCGTCCTCCGCTTGCGGGTGTTTCAAACATGGAGGAGCGGGAGCGGCGAGGGGCCGCGGGCAGGGCGGGGAGCCCCGGGAGCCCGCCCAGCCCGCGGCTGGACGTCAGCTCGGACCGCTTCGACCCGCTGCTGGCCCTGTACGCGCCGCGCCTGCCGCCCATCCCCTACCCCAACGCGCCCTGCTTCAACAACCTGGCCGAGTACGAGAGCTTCCTCCGGCTGGGCGGCCGGGGCCGGGGCCGGGGCCGGGGCCGGGCGCGGGGTCAGGCTGCCCCCGGGGCTCCGGGCGCCCCCGGCCCAGCCCCCGGCCCCGCCTCGTCCGCCTCGGGCTCGACGCGCCGGACCTCCCGCCGCCGCGGAGCGCCCGCCCCGGACCCCGAGCGCATCCAGCGGCTCCGCCGGCTCATGGTGACCAAGGAGGAGCCGGACGCGGGGGCCAGCGGCCCGGGCAGCAGCGGCCGCCCCGGCCGCAGGAGGAAGGCGCCGCGCAACGTCCTCACCAGGATGCCCCGTGAGTGCGGGCGGACCGGGGCTGCACGGCGGGGGGCGGGGGG